TTTAATCTCCCGTGGCAACCATTCAGCTGTGCAAAATGGACCTAGCTCCACCTATGAGGACAAAGCTCCTCCTCAGAGAGGCAGTTGTGGGAAATGTCCTGTTGAGGTCAGAGTTCAGGCTTGTCAGAGATATGGGAAGACAACGGTAGCTCAACCCAGTTGACCTAGTTCTGTCTCTGAGGTCACAACTTGTTGAATCTCGAAACAACTGGAGTGCTCATGTTGGCTAAGAACAAGAAACAGAGGCAACACACCTGGACAAAAAGAGATTGAAAAATGTACAATAAGTCCCCAATTCAGGTACAACATTCAGGTGTTTGGGTCAGAAATGTGGATCAAATGTAGGATGATTATGTTTTTCTAAAACAGTACCAACTGAGCATTGTTTAGCTATTATTCTACCTTGAACAAGTTAGGATAGATCTATAAGCTCTCCAAGTTTTTGCACAGAATAATTATTAAATAATAATATTTCAGTCTGCCCAGTTCTGCTTATTTGAGCTCCTTTCAGTATGAATTGTTTTGGGGCCTCCTGTCACTTTAAACCCAAATAAGTAGCTGCAAACAGATTATTAAATTATACAATCATTGATCTTTGAAAAGCATTAGTAGATCCTCCTGCACAACCAACAAGTGGTTTCTGGATGGCAAGTCAACTACAAAACACTTGTTTTTGTTTTTGTTTTTTCCAGGAACCATTGTACAGTGCTCACAGCAGTAAAACTCTCTGTCCAAAAGTCCTAGAATTCTGCTTGGGTTGCTAGGTGACAGGCTAGGCTTTGCTGGGGTTCCTAAGTGATGGGCTAGTAGTGCCTGCTGTTTTGTGACGTTACATTTCAGATGTTTTTGAAACGGCTCACCAGAGCCAGCTGCACATTGTCTGAAAAAAACAAACCATCAATCACCTACCGCTTCCTGTCATCTTCTTTGTCGTTTCCACCAGTAGTAACATCCGGTGGTTGATCACATGATCACATGCAATACAAAAAACGTGTTTCCATTTGCGAATACAGCTATTTCAATGCAGTGGGAAAAAGAAACTCATTCTAGCGCAACAACGTTTTTACAAAACAGTAATTTTTTCAACATTGGAGCTTTTCCATTAAGCAAATTAATTTTTGTATTTTGAATTTGCACAATTCTATGTTTAATGCACAGCTTTAGTTGTGAGTCTCTTTTAAATCCTTTAGTATGCTGGGAACCTGTCCAGTATACCCTACTTTTGACCTACTCATCACTTGAGATAGACACCATTTCGCCCCAAAAGCCTGCGAGGATAAATGAGGATAGACGATGAATGGATGGAGTTTTGCTTTGCTTGCATCCCGGAGACGGCATGAATCAACTACGGGACAAACGGCAGCTTGATGCGTCCATCATCGGGCCGATTAGCTACTCTTAATGTTTGGAACTGTGGTGTGCGCTGACTTGCCATTTTCCCCTGGAAAAAAGTACTCCAAACTGGCAAACGGTTGATACTCACACAAACAGATGTCAGAGTAAACATTTGAAGAGTTTTAATGATTACCCCATGAAGCCATTTTTTAATTTTTTTTCCCAGTGACTGAAAAATGATGACATGCCAACTGAAACAAGCTCTTTTTTTTGGCACCTTGCTTTAAAACCTGATTTATCACTTTGAGGAACACAAGCGCTTCTGTTTAAAAGCGGAACGTGAACATTTGATTCATGTCTTCGTATTTCTGGGTATTTTTTTTTTTTGTGTGTGTTGTTTTGTCTTTGCAGCATGGATACGGTCGGGAGGCAGGATGTTGCTGGAGCAAGTGAATTAAAGTGAATCATGACCGTTTGTCTGTTGGCTTCTCATCGGACAGGAAGAGCGTTTCGAGACATTCACACTGAAATACACACACATACGATCCAACACCCTTTCAGAGATCCGCATTAGACCCCATAATGTGATTCCTGCCTATCGCCTTACAAATCTAATTATGAAACACCACTCATATTCAATATCACCAAACCTCCAGCCTTTTAGTTTGGCCTCTCAAACCACCGTGTAAAAGCTTCATCATGGGCCACGCTGATGAAATTAGGCTCTATTATCCCCCCTCTCTCTTTCTCTTTTCTCTCTAACTCTCACCACTTCCATTCTGTCTTACTTGAAGGAGTGTGCAGATTTAATTTACAGCAGGACTCATGAGCCACTTAGTGCAATCTTTCTCTGTGTGCAAGGATTGATTGATTAGGTCTTATCTTGTTATCTGGGTCTGTGGTCGTGTTGATAGGCCTGTTTGTTCTCTCACTAGTCTCTCAGTCTTTCCTTCTCTATCTCTTTCCACAATGTAATTTTATGCTTCTGTCTACTGTTCTCTGTGGGTGTGGGTGTGTGTGTGATGGCCTTCAGCTTCTTCTTTCCCTCCAGTGAGCAGATCAGACACTGATAAGGATGGATTGTCTTGCAAGATCAGAATTAGGAAATTACATGTTTCACCCATCGCAGACTTGCTGCCCCTCCCTCCACGTTGGCAGACTGCGATCTGATACTGTTTCTGAGAATTTTCCAAAGTGTCTCAGCTGTAGCTAATGGGCAGCAAAATAAAAACGTATTTGATGCTGTTTTAGTCAGAAAACATGACGTTCAAAGAGCAAGTCTCGTTTGGTTACTTGAGATGTTTTCTTTTACTAAAATTTACTCAGTTTTTTACCAGCTTTTGCTTTTAATTAAAAATCACATTGCCTTACAAAAATATACCCTGCCAACATTTGGATATCACACTTGATTAAGTTTATGTGAAAAGTCAGTAAAAAACAATCTTCCTTCCACTTTCTGCCGTCTTCATCTTTTTCGCCAGTAGTAAGATCGAGTTCTTGATTACGTGACTCTTGCGATGCAAAAAAAAAAAGTTTCCTTTGCAGTTTTGCAAAATACGGTAATTTTGATATGGCCGAATAACCACATCATTCTTTCTAGTGGCAAAAAGTTATCAAAACATTTCTAGTGCCAAGAAGGTTTTTCAAAATTAGCTTGTTTCTGTTAAATACATTAGTTTAGTAATTCCAATTTGAGCAATATATATATATATATCAATGAAAGGGCAGCAATCAACATTTTCTGTGACGGACCGATATGAAGTGGAAGGAAGCTGCTGTTTTAGTCATGCACTACACTAATCCAGCTTCCATTTTGGAGTAGCAAGTCGATGGTTATGGGAAGTTCTGTTTGGGATTTATGTAGAGGACATGGAAAAGTTGTGGAAGGAGTTGTTCTGATCAGATGATAATAAAACACAACTTTTAGGACAACATGTGAAATAGTCTAGCCTGGCCATTGCCTTCCTACACAATTCCATTCAGCGTTCCGGCTGGGATTTCTACCACTGAGCTCAATTTCTCTTAAAATAATTTTTTTTTACATTTTTTACCAGACTAAAAATGTTCCACCCCCCAGATGAGACACAATGGTAGCAGCATCAGATCTGTGGGATCACTTTTCTGCAGTACAGGAAAAAAACAACCCTACCGTGATCTTAAGAGATCGGATCAAAGAGACCCTGCAAAGTTTTTTTTTTTGTTTTGTTTTTTTTTTACCCTGTGCGCGGTCTGGAAGTGTCACCCTGACCCTCTGTGGGCTTTTACAAGGTTTGTTTTTTGTGTAGTTTTGGGAAGTCTGACAGGACAGCCCTCCCGCTTCCTCACTGTCCGACTGTGACATCTGCGTCGCACTAAGACTGCAGGAGGGTTAAGACTGTGGTGGAAGTTCCCTTTCTAGCAGGGTACATGTCAAAGTTCAAATCTAAATTCAGCTGAGATCCTATGGTAACACTTTGAAAAATGTTCACAGATGCTCTGCTTTCAGTCTAAATGAGCTCAATCCATCTTGCATAGAAGAATGGGCAAAAATATCAGTGTTTAGATGTACAAAGTTAGTAAAAACAAAGACCAAGAGATACAGTTTTGTGGTTCTCAAAGGGTCTGAATGCCAATATTCACCACACTTCTTATTGGTCTTATTTCCTTTTCCTTCCACTTCAAAGTGATACATTTAGTGTTCTTATGTCACAATGAATGTTTGTAATGTAAAAAAGTTCAAAGGGTTATGAATATTTTAGGAAGGTACTGTATTTGATGTGGCCAAAACATTTTTGGACTTTAAAACTAGTTTGTTGTTTTTTTCTTTTCAGATCTAATGATGATAATTTTACACAACTCAAGTGAAAGGTCAGTGTAAAGTTTCCTCTCATGAATGCATCCGTTACATTTCACCTCTATCCTACAAGTGTATTACTACATCGACTTCTTCAAGCTATCCTGTTTTAACTTTTCTTTTTTTTTTAAACTATGTTGCATAGATTGGGTCTTTTGAATCATATTTTACCATAAGCGTAATGGTCAGATGTCACACAAACTCCTTAATTGGGATGAAGGGTTAAGGGTTAAAGTTGTACCAATCAACTTCTAAAACACGCTGCCTACACACTGATGATTTGGCTTTTTTATAGTTGCCAGGAGCAGTCGAAATTCATTAAAAATCCAGCTTTTAAATCCAGCATATTATCAGACGCCCTGGCTGTTTTTCAGTAATGTCAGCATAATAATGCCAGACAAAATCAAAACTTGCTGCTGTTGTACGTCTTGTGCCCTAAAAGGAATATATTTCTTTGCGGTATGAAAAGGTCTCTGGATAAACTGCGCTGCTGTCGGTGTTCATATAATGATAATTAATTTCGACACGGCAGGCATCTCCAGCTTCCTCACCATCCCCTAATGATAATGGAGTGCATTAGTTCTGGTTTTGAGCGCTTCTAATTCACGTTCCCACAAACAAAGTCAGCCAAGCAGCAGACACGGCTTCGTCAGTTGATTGCAGCAGCAAAATGTAAAACTCCGCCCTCTATTAGTGCTGAAATTGCACAGACAAAGAAAGCCAGAAAGCCACAGGACTTTTGCTGAGATTATTGGTCAACAAAAAAAGTTGCTCCACACCTGGCCAATTTCTTTTAGAATGGATTTCCCAATAGCAATGTTCATTAGCTGATAGCTAGCTCTGTGTACCTGGGTATATGGCTACCTAATGGTGTATAAAAATCAGGGAACAGCAAACAGAACACAGATCTGACATCTTTACAGTCCGACCATTTCTACCATATTTTCAGAGCATTGTTACTTCTCACATGTGCTAATGCTATTGCTAATGGGCTTTCTGTGTAATACAACAAGATGTATATCATTCATCAGAATAAATTAACATTTATTGTATCAGGCAAAAAATGTCATGAAGAGGAAAAAAAACTAGAGAGGCACTGATCCGATATTAATATCTTTATCAGTGCAGATATTGAAAACATTTTTAGATGGGGTATTGGTGACAATGTGCCTGATCCATAAAGGCAGATCTATTCAGTCTAATTCTATGCTCTGTGCTCTGAGCAGTGTTATGCTAGACTTTTTTTTTTTTTTTTACATTATATTTAGAATTCCTAATTTCACTTTCTTGACAGTTTGAAAGAAGGTGTTTTGATGTTTATGTTTATATGTTTGACCAGGGTAGCCAGCCTGATGTTTTTGTCAGTTTCAGTCTCTTTATTTTTTATTTTACATTGGCTGTTATAATCCTAATATCACAGACTGAACAAATTAAAGTTGTGTTGCTTGTGCATGTTTGACCAAGCTTGTGAAACTATTGGTGTTTTTAAATGTGCAGTACTGGTGCAGAATTATCAAATAAATTTGTAATTTAGTACATTTATGTATGATTTTTTTCCTTTTTTAAAAAAAGGAAAAGGTTTCATGCCAATTCAGCGCTGCTTTCCTGCATCAGATCAGTATCGGCTGATACAAAACCTCAGTTATCTGTCGGAAGTGAAAAAAGTGATTGGCGCATCCCTAAAAATGAAAAACATACATGAGTCAAACCAGACCAAGTCTTAAGACCAGCCAGCTAAAAACCCCCCCCGACAGAAACAAGGGATAATATTTGCTAGCCAAAAAAAGTAAGCTTCTCCACTAACTTTCTTTTTCCTGGACCATCAACATGAAGACATCATCAGTTTTTTAAAACTTGTTCCTGACCTTGAAAAATCCTGATGATAAAGATGTCAACTGTTTTGCTTTGACATGCGAAGAGTTTCCCTCCTGGAGCCTCCTGCCTGCATCCAGGACCTCGTTTCTGGTTTGATATGGAAACCCACCTCTCTTCACCTGTGCCCGTTTCCTCCCTCCGAGCGCCCTCCCTCCCTTTCCGTCTGCCCCTACCTGACTTGTAAACACACTCATTGACACAAACGCACTCATCCACTAATGCACACAGAGAGCGAAGCGGCGGGTTCTCTCCTTAATGACGTCCTCCGAGTATAATTAGTCTGGCCAATTAACAGCAGTAACGATGCTTGCATTCATTATGTCAAATTACATTGTGCTGACAAAGTGTCAACTCAGCTACACTCACCTGCTGAGGGTGTCTGCGTGCGTGTGTGTGTGTGTAAATTTATTAAATCCTACTTCATCATCCCAGAGATGAAAAATGTCCATTCTCATATATTCATTCAACACACACACATTCAATTAGCACACTTGGCGTAGATCTATTATTCTGGAGCTCCTTGTTGTGGGGAGGCTCTGGTGGCCAGGAATAAGACCTTTGGAGCCAGTTGGATCAGTACATTGCTTTATTAAATCATGGATATTGATTTTTCTGCGCACGTGTGTGTGTGTGTGTGTGTGTGTGTGTGTGTGTGTGTGTGTGTGGGGCATTATTAAAGGCTATATATTACAAAGAGTTGGAAGGGATGGCGGCGGGCATGTGATCCGTGCTGCCTGAGATTTTGCACGCGCTCATTTGCATAATACCGCCGAATGTGGCAGAGAGACTGGAGGTGGATTCATCTTAATTAACATCTCAGGCCTCTCGAGGTAAACTACTCAGCTGGGGACAAAAACGGCAGACGAAAACCAGACAGAGGTAAAAAAATATACCACAGCAGACACACAACAACTTTGTTCCTGCTTCAGAAAAATCCATTCTGCCTTAACGTTGTGACCGTTGGTAATTACTATGGAAGCACAGCGTCGGTGCCTCAGAGGGCCGGACGCAGTTAATTTGTGCCGTGTGTTTTTTATGGAGTGGTGAACTGTCGGCCTTCAGGTTTCCAGAGGAGGTTCTGAGTGAACCCAGGGCTAAATAAAGTGATTTTTTATTTTTTATTTTGATGTTTTTATTTTTATTTTTAAAAAAGTAAAATATTTAAAGGGTTTCTTCCTCATGATACTGAAGAATTTAGTTTTCCAGTCTCAGCAGAGCAAATAAACCTCAATGAGAAATACTGTGATATTTTAAGATCTTGTACGACGAGACGTCATTATGCACCAAGTACTTATCCATGGTAGAAGGTCAGAATGAAAGAAAAAAAATGGATTGAAACAGCTTTGAGTTTAATGGCCGGAGAGCGTGTTTACACTGGTGGGATTTCCAGTTTGTACTGTCGCGTGAATACTCAATCCCAAGAGTTTGATGGTCCGTAGAGGGACTGTTGTGTTGGAGCCTGTGTGTCAGATAAAAATCTGGTTGGAACGGGTGATGTGATTTATACATAACCTGCCAGTTCCCTTTCCTCTCCACTTTGGTAGAATATCACTCAGGAGTTGACTGTGGAATATTTAGTATAGAGGAAATTATATGGCTGATCTTTTTGTACAGGGGCCACCTTATGTCACGGTACAGTGCTGGAAATCAATAAGCTCCTGAGAGCAAACCATCGTATGGTAAATGTTTGTGGAACAAGGACTTTATGGAAGTGATTGGAACCCCTGAAATGATTTGGATGGGTGAATAAATACTTGTACAATGTGTATAAATACACATTCTTATTCTTGCTGACATGGAGATGATTTTTGTCAAACGTACAGAAATCCTTAGCAACCCAGATATACAGATACAACATAGCAGTGGATTTGCTAAAATTAGGGATTTTTGATATGATGGCCAAACAATAATAATAATAAAGAAATGGACTTTTGAAATCCAAATAGACAGACAGGAAACTCCCATAGTGGGACATTCACTATCTGGGAAAACAAATATGGGTTTTACATAAATTCTCGATTAGTCTTTGTGTAATTATGAGAATTGACCTGAACTGAACCAAGTGAGGCCTGCAGTGCTTTTTGTTCTTGGTTCCTGGACAGCCAGGCATTAAAATATGTTCCATTTTGCTTCAGAATCCTTTTTGAAAATTTCTTTCTAAAACAAAGACAAAACCATGTAAAATGATATATACCCTGAAGGAATATGAATACATTTGCTCAGTTATAACACAAATAGATTCACATTTGAGTATCATGCTTTCTCCTGTGTGCCAACACATGCACATAAACATGCACTTGATCTAAGCAAAGGAAAAAGAAGCCGAGCAGTCCTCTGATAGGCAATTAGCTTGCGGAGTGACTCAGACAAGTACACAGAGGCCCTGACAAACATCCAAACCCAAACGAACACACACACACTCTCACACACACATGTGGAAGAGGCTGAGCTGGCTTGCTCTCTTGATAGGCAATTAACTTTCCTCAGACACCTCATCAGCCTGTGAACAAAAATCCCCCCTCTAATCGGACACACAAACACACGCACACACACGCCGTCCTCGCAGCTTTTGCATATGCAGTGTTCATCGCAGCATTGACATGCAGCGAGAGCGCGAGAATCTGTTCCCGTTGCAAAGTCCCTCAGCGTAGCTGAATTTCAAATGCGCATACGCAAACGCGCGCATACGCCTTCGTCTGAGGGATCAAGGGGGCAGATGACTCGTCGGGAGTCCTGCTGAGTTAAGTAATCACACTCGGGTGTTTAATCACTAACGAGAACCTGATGATGCTCTTTAATTAACACATCACTAATTGAAGAGGTCTGGTGAATCGCAGCTCTCAGGCCTGCCTGTTTTTCCGAGTAATCAGAGAGAAAGGAATTGTGAGTGAGGGGCTTCCAGCTGCAGCTGGTCAGAAGAGCATTTTTCATCCTGGAAACGATTGAAGTGGAGGATTACTGCCTTTAATAAAAAAAAAGAATAAAACCCCCGGCAGTGTTATGGAGGTGTTTTTGATCACTGTGAATAATGGAAACAACTCAAGAAGTGCATTTGGCATAATTCTGATTACCTCAGATGATTATCGCGAAAGCTACAACGGCGCAGCAGTGACAGACCAGACAAATGTTTTTTTTTTTTTTTTCCTGGCAAACGTACATTAATCGACATAATTAGGATTCAAATTAAAAATATACATGAATGAAAAATAGGATTTCTAGCAGGAAAGAACCGATCCACTTTTTTCAATTCCAATAATGATATCTGAGCTTCAGTATCAGCTGATACCGATCTGATGCAAAAAAAAACAAAAAAAACAATGCTGAATGACCTAAAGAGTTATTTTTTTTAAAACATCGACATAAATGTACTGAATTACAAATTTGGTTCATAGCTCTGCACCAGTGCAGCACGCTGAGCTTCACAATCTTGGTCAAACATGTAAAAACATCTTTTAGTCGTTCAGTCAGTGCTATTAGAAGTATTACAGCCAATGTAAAATAAATATTAAAGAAACTGACAAACACAATAAGTAGGTGAAACATGTAAAAATAAACTTCAATAAAACTTTCAAATTACTCAACGTACAATTATGAAGTCTAAATATGATTTAAAATAAATAATAAAGCATAATGTCTCAGAGCACAAAGAATAGAATTAGACTGAATAGATCTGCCCTTACGGATCACACACATTGTCATCAATACCCAATCTATCTTCTTTTTTTTTTTTCTAAATTCTGGGACAGTACAAATATTGATGCAAAAAACTTCAGCAATTCTGAGATCAAAGTCAAACATTTTCGACTTTTGAAACTCAGAAAATTTCCAAGTTTTTTCTAGAAAATTTCTGAGATCAGCCTCAAAATTTCATTTTTTTTTTTTGTGGAAATGTACTCCTTTCCCCCCTTTTTGTTACCTACAATATCCCCAATACGCCGTCATAGATTTAAGTGTATTGCAGACAAGAAGAGTAACTTTCCAGTACCTCCAGGAAGATGACAAGGCATTCTCATCTTCCTTCTTACACTTTTCAGCTTTTCTTCAGCCACTCGACGCCAAGAAACAAGCTTGAGATCATCACAATCCTTTGTTAAACAGAGATTTTCATGGTTTCCAGATTGCAAACAGGAACAGAACATCCACAAACCAGTTTACCAGGAAATAAAAAAAAACTTGAAGAATTTGTATGCGAGGCTGATAGGTTTTCTTTTTAAACTGCGCCACATGAGGTGAGTAGTGTTGGATGGTATGTTTGGCAAATTTTAAAATGGCTTATACAGGTGTGAAGAAGATGTTTGGTAATACGGATCCATACAGAGGGTGTTTTTTTATTGGGGGACGACGGGTTTGTTAATGAGGATTATTGTTTGAACAGGAGAAAGGCAGCTAAGCTGAGCATCATTGCTATCACACTGACTTTGTTCCTGGCTTCCTTTTTCCAGGGATTATGACACAATGTTATTGTGATTATGATTGTTGCAGCCGCGACAATGCCAAGGCTGTTCTCGTCTGCTTGTCTTACGATGCACTGCCAAGATACAGGTTTATATTTGTAGTTTTAGAGATCGCGGTTTCATGTTTCACATGTTAGCAAGACTTTATTTTATTTAAAAAAAACAAACAAACTGCGATGCTTGCGTTTTAAAATGTCACAGGTAAATGTCATCCAACCTATGGATCCTTTCTCTGCTTTCTGGGGACAAAGATTAACCCAAGTTTTTCCTCACGCACCTTGCTGCTGCTTCTGCCTGTTTAGAGGCTGCGCGTGGGGAAAAAAGGACAAAGATTTAAATAGAGGAGGGATTTCCAGAGATAATTAAGAGGGAATGAACGGGCAAACCGAAGACAGAGGAAGGATTTGGGAGCAAAAGAGCCAACGCTCTACCTTTGTCGCATCTCGAAACAAGTGGATCTGCTCAGCTGCCTCTCAAATGCCATGAATATGCATTATGTGAGGTTATTCATCGTCTGCAATTGTTTCTCTTCAAATTAAGTCCCAGCTGAAGTACACAGAGAGAAGACAAAAAAGGAAAATGGATGCAAATAAAAACGTAACAAAACAATCGGGAGAACTGAGCTGTTCTTTTTATGTCCGAGTGCCTGCCTTTGTGGCACGGCAGAAATCTTCAGAAGCGACTCCCGTTCATTCAGAACGATAATGCCAATCTTTTTACGGAGATGCTCTAATTAACATCAATTTTAATAATCTGATTACTTTACAACAATCTTTAAAATTCTTGGTGAACAAAGAGAACCTGTATAGTTTAAATGTCTTTGTCATACACCAGTAATACATAAGAAATTAAGAATTATGAACAGAAAACGGGTACTAAGCTAATTAGGGAGTTTGCTGCTGGTTGGCTAACTGGCTAACACTGACAGACACTTTTGTCATGAAACACTGATTTGTGTTGCTACCAAAAGTCTAACATTTTCAGCAAACATTTGAATTTAGACTTTGTTAGGTTTTTTGAAACTGGGGTAAGTAAATAAATTATTGAATACATTTTCATTGTATCCTGCACAAGTTTGACACCATCAACAATGAAAGTTTAGTTTTATTAAAGCTTTTTGGATTTCCCAAAGAAAGCAAAATAAAAGTGTTAGCCTTAATAAAACTCTCTCCTTAGACTTAAATACAAGGAATGTTAGCATATCCTGCCAGACATTTAGATAAAGATTTAAGTTTTTTTATGTTTTGAGATCCCGGGAGGAGTTCAATAGTCCTACGATGCCATTTGGAGCAACATGTAAAAACAGTTCTGTAGGTTTAAGTTCACACTCGATGTATCTGAGCTTGATAGATAATTTCTCCAATCTTGGAAACCATACATAATTTTTTTTTTTTTACCATGCTACTTTAATCTTTTACTTTCTTAGCTGAATTTTTTGTTGTTTGAACATCTATCAAACATCAAATATTTCTAGAGAAACTATTTACTCCATAAGAGATTTATTATGTTTTTCTTTTTTTTCCTTTCTTTTTTTGACACACTTAAATGTTTCAGATCATAGAATAAATTTTAATATTAGTGTCTCTATCAATATCTCAAATACATTCTAGCTCAGAATGCGTCTTATTGTTTGTGAGAAAGACTGCTTTCATGTTTTTGAAGCATAAACGTGTAGAATTTGAAGTCGCAGCTGAGCATCGGGATCTACGACCAAAATGCAAATCACATTACGGCCTTTCATCTGTTTGGTTATGCTTTGCACTGGAAAATTAGAATAATGTTTAGTTGGGAATTGAACCAAAGTTTTCACAGGTTTTTGCTTAAACTGATTTATAGTTGGGAGATTTATGCTGAAATATTTAGGGCAATTTTTTCTTCGGACTATCTCATTCTGGCTGAAAGTTTTGCAACCAAAGTTAATTTAGGTGGTAAAAAGTGAATGGAAAGACAATAAAACCTCCAAGTGTGTTTAAGCATGAAAAAAAGAAAAAAAAGAAATAGTTTTGGATTTCTGTTTATCTCCGCCTACACACATATAACCTTTTTGACGAGTGAGAAATCAGTCTTTGTGTGTCAAGCAATAAGATTCGAGCATCAGATGGCTGCAAACATCGCCGTTGGTTTGAAAATTTAATATAAGTGTTATTGTTCGCACTATGCTGTGTAAAGTGTAAATTCATATAGGGGTAATGTAGTCTGTGTGCAGCGGATGCAAACACCATAATCAGAATCTTGTTCCAGTTGTGAAAAGGTCAACAGTTGGACTATTAATACTAAAGTAAATGCTGCTCTTGATGAGAAAGTCTTTGTGTTTGTAGATTAAATTTATTTAACAAGAAAAAGGGAATTAGTCAGAAGTCCAAGATTAGACGTGAAAATGTGGCGTCTGAAGACATGAAAAGTTCGGACAATCCGTTAAATTTCAATCCTTAAGACTGATGCTTAATGTTTTTTTCTGTGCAAAAGAAATGAGTATACTTGCACTTGAACAACAAAAAATAACTTTGTTTTACTCAAAAGAAAAGAAATGTGTGAATTGAAGTTGAGGAAAAAGTTTGTAGCCCCCACTGTCTCATGAGGTTATGCCATTATCCGAGATGCTTCCTGTAGCCGTCGACTATACTCTGATGATGACGGTTTGACACCCCTCCTCACTTCCATCTGTGAGATATGTGAGGGATCTCTTGCAGGTACATTTCAAATCTTCCCACAGTCCAGAAGATTGAGATTGACCTTTGCCTTAGTCCACAACTTTCTGTTTCTTCGGCTCCAGCCTGTGGTTGTTCACCAACTGGTTTGTTTTGGATCATTGTCACTCAGGTTTCAACTCTGATCCAGCTCTGTTTTTTAAACATGGTTTCAAATTTCCCTAGGGCTGCACATTTATCGTATCATTTGTCATTTATTGTGATCAATTTCTTATTGTGATAAGGACTTTGATTTATTGTTAAGATAAATTCACCACAAAACTTGTGAGGATTGTTAGTTTCTCAATCAATCAATCAATAAAATATCAGTAAGTTAGAAATATGAATGCAGTTAACGTGTGCCGTTTATTGATAGAAATATGATGACTGGTGTCCTAGAGAGTGTGATTTTCAAGATTTTGTGATTGCGGGGCTATGATGACTAAAAAAGAAATAATAAATAGTTCTTATGGTCACTATTATCACAATATTACCACCAAATATCCTAATAAATCTTTAAATCACCCGTATTATTCACCCCTACTGAAGACCTCTCTGATACTAAGTGGGATTCATTGTGGTTCTGCTGCCCCAAGCCAAAATGCTTCCACCTCTATGCTTCGTAGTTGGTATGTCGTGTGTATAACTACATGCCATTCTAATTAGGCATAAATATTTTAAAGGTATTTTCTTCTCTCTTCATATTATTTGAATTTTTCAGTATGATGAAAAAATTATTGCATGTCCATTCATATCTAAAAAACACAAACTTTCTCGTGGTGTCCTAATTTTTCACATTACTGTCTTTTTTTTGTTTGTTTGTTTCAGGCTTTTGTAATAAACACTTTAAAACAATGATTTTCACACACAATCTCATTTTTTGAGTCAGAAGGGGTGTTAGATCTAAGATGGGACTCCTTATTCCCACGTCAGACGGCGGACGAGAGAAAAACATCACATAAACACAATAATGTAGGTAGGATTCACCTGAGGGGAACAGGGGACAAGGGGCTAATTAGTGATGATGAGAAGTTAATTTAGTCCGACACCTCTGGTAATAGTGTGTCTTCATTTCTCCTCTTCTCACTTTCTCGCTGTGCCGTTGCCCACTCTGCATATTCCTCCTTTCTCCCGCCTCGCCCCCCAATTTTCATCCTCAGACGAGGTGTCAAACGTCCTGTTCTGTGCTCCTCGGTCCCCCTCTTTAATGTGTCTCGGTAGTTTCTCTCTGTCACAGTTTTATTCTGTGCGCCGTGGCTGCAAAGCAGTTGAAATTGTCAAGCGGACAAAGTGGGAAATCACATTATTTCCTGCTTTGACATCACTGAGTCGTAGTTCGGCGAGTGTAGGTGTGAGCGGATGGATGAGAAGGTTCCTGAACTAAATGTTTGCTCGCAGGTGAGCCTGTTGTTGACAGATGGTGTTTGTGAGAGAAGCTCGCCGCCTGCAGAGTCTCACACCAGGAAAACGCTCGAGCTAATTCAGACGGCCCCACTGTACAAACACAAACACATGGAGTGAGGGCTCACACACACGCACACACCCAGAGCAGAACCACAAAGCCTCAGAATGGATATATGAAGATCATTTTGCATTGGTCACAGAGTAACCAGGTGAGATTGACCATAAATTATTTTTTTCAATATGTTGCCTATGATCAATGAATTGAGTGAATGAGAGCTTCCACCTAAAACCCATTTGATCCCCAAATCTCCATTTTAATAAAGTATAATTATCTACATTCTCCAGCTTTGAAGTTTCAAATTTTTGGCTTTGCACCTTTTCTAATTTTATTTTCTGAAAGGTATAAAGTACGCCTCAAACAAGCTGAAATATCGTTTTAAGAATTTACTTTTCTTGCGTTCCTCTCATGCAGGGAGCCCAGGGAGGTACCCTCTGAATTATTTTACTGTTGTAGACTAAAAAAATATATCAAAGTTTCACTTGACATAATTCATTTTTACATTTTACAAAAGCAACGACAATGAAATGCTTTGGGT